TTGTAACAGACCTGCTTCACTTCTTGAGGAAGTAACTCTTTTTGTAATATTTATTTAAGCAAGGTTTCTCAGGTCACTGACTGTTAAATAAACCTAGTTAAGTAAGAGTAATGCATAGTAAAGATTTAAGAATTCCTTACCACACACTCTGCATTAACTCTCTTTTCCAATATTTCCCCTTGCTGAGAAGTTTCAGGTTCTCAGATGTAGCATGATATAATAATTGATTATTTATATAACTTTTTTACTTTGCTGCAAATAGCTTAGGGGTTATAGACCTTATCCTTTTTCTTCCCAGTTTATGTAACAAAATACTTTTATTTTCCTCGTAGAGGTTATAGGAAAAGATATATAAGTCTGTGTATGTAAGACTTGAATAATGGTAAAAAAGGGACAGCATGATCTTAATGTATTGTTGGTAACACAGTCACATTTCTTAGACTAATTATAAATTAATGGTGTTTGATGACTGATGAGAGTATGATCATTTTAAATCACAAGTTTTACAGCTGCTCGGGGGCTTAGAGATGATTTAGCCCATCATGAAACCCAGGTTCAGAAAAATGTGGTGACTTGGACTAATAGTTGGTGAATGAACAGGAATTAAAGACTGATGCCCCATCTTATATTTCAGTTAATTTCTGTTATCTCATGTTCCATTTAAAAGATTTAAATTTCTGACTATTTAAAAAAATAATTCATTTTAATTACATCAGTAATACAGTTTCCTGGAAAATCCTTAGGCTATTACAGGTAAGGTTAAAGTCCAATTTGATCACCAAACAAATCCCACAACATCTTTTTTCAGAAGGGTAAGCAAATTTCATATGGTGAATGTATCTATTTGGATTAGATTTAGTTAAAAATAGTGGTTGAAACAAAATATAAATTCTTTTCACTCTCATATTCCAGAAGTCCAGATGGTGTCAGTCAAGGCTGGGTTGGTGCTCCAAGGTGTCAGAGACCCTGCTCCTTTCTCTTGGTTCTCCATAATAGTGGCCTTCAGTTTAAGTCAGGATGGCAGCTGGAGCAACAGTCATTATATTGCATTCCAATCTCAGGAGAAAGTGTATCGTCCCCCCTTTAAGTATACTTCCTAGAAGTTAAACAACATTTTCACTTAGATCACATTGTGCAAAAGTTAGTCACATGGACATACCTAGCTGCAAGAGAGGCTAGGAAATGTAGTCTTTATTCCAGGAAGCTACATGCCCAGGTAAAACTGGGGCTTCATTTTCATGGAAGAAAGGAGAACAGTGTCTGCCATAGTAAGTGTCCATGCACAGCAAGAATGCTACTGCTTATTACTTCCGTCTCCTGTCCAGCTGAGATATCTGCTAAAAACCTTAGTCATTAGCAAGAGATCCAGGCCTTGTAGAATATTAGGAGTTCCTTCCACATTAGTGAATGGTACTTAGAAATCTATTCTTCTGGCTTTTCATGTCTGATATATCTGGAGATAATTTTTATCTTCCTTGGCACTCTCATAAGCATCTATTCCAGAAACAATAACAACAATAGCAATAAAACAGTAAGTTGCAAAATATGTAATAAAATGAACAACTCACCAAATAATACTATAATGTTTTTATGGGTATACGAATATATATGTAAACTATAGAAAATAACCTTGAAGTATGCATGCAAAACTGATAGATGGTTACCTTTGGTGTTGTGGGATTAGGGTTGGTGATCAAAGGACTTTAAGTTTTCTGTAATATTCCAAAGATTTACAACAAAATGAGATGTGTTTCGGGAGGTGGGAGGAGTGTAGAGTAGACTTAACCACGTGGAAACCTTTAGAAACTCTGGCGTATCCTAACTGGATAGGCATTGTATCATTTACAGGTTTTGGTTGTGAGCAATAGAAATCAATTCTAACGAACTAAATCAAAAAAGGAAATTTATTGGAGGATCACCGATTGTCATAGATCTGAAGAAAAAGTTGAATGATAAGGCTATGTCATAAGAATTAAAGATAGTCACTGCAACTCCAGCTGCTTTTCATTCTTGTGTCTCTCTGTTTATGATGTACATTCCCATGACGTGAAGTGATGTTGGTCAAGCTTGAGGCATATTCGTTAGCTGAGGTTTGGGAGTAAGAGTTGCAAGTAAGCCGGTACCTTGATTGACTGTTCTACCAAAGCATAGGATGTGGGAGGACCATTGCCCAAATGAAAATCAGGCTTCTGTTACTGAGAAAAAGGGGAGGGATGTTAGGGAGGCAAAAACAACAGGTGTCTAAACTATCACAGAAGAACACATTCTGATGTGTATTTCATTCCTTCAACCATAAGTTTTAGAATGTTCTGTGGGTATGTGGGAGAAGGTTCTGTGTTAGAGCTAAAATTACTGATCTTAATTTTCGAAAGAGTCCTTTCTTGGTTATATTGCAGTGAACCAAATTGTTTAACAACCTTTCTGTATTTTTAAAGTTCACTCAGAAATTGTTCTCTTTATTGCTCTTATTTACTGAGCTATCTACTCTCAACTTTTTTTAGGTTACATTATAGGAAGCAAGGGGTGCATGGGCTACTGTTTATAAATATTTGCTACTGTTCCCTGGGCAGGATTATACTTTCCCATTCCATTGATTTCGGGCTTGGCCATAGTACTTGCTTTGGCCAATAAAATGTGAATGGAAGTGACATGTGTCTGTTACAATTAGACCCTCTAGGGGCTGGTGTGTGGCCATGTTCTCTTTTCCCTCTGCTCAGTAACCAAAGATGTTTCTGATAGAGGCTGTTTCATCAGCCTCCCAGTTCATCCCTCCCAGGTGAAGAGCCGCGGTCAATCTGCTGTTGATGCACAGCATAATTGAAAAATAATCCTTTGTAACTGTAAGCCACTGATATTTGGGCCATTTGTCACTAAAGCATAACCTAACTAGTCCTGACTGATGCACTTGTAAAATGAATTCTCTGTTTAAACTTCATGGAGAATTTCTGATTTTAAAAACAGACCATAAGTAGGAAATTAGGTAGAAACTGACCAAATGATTAGAAGATTATCATGTGAGCAATGGAGAAACAATACATATTTTCTGGGCAAGCAACTGACAAAATAAATTTGATATTTTAGTGGTTTAATATCAGAGCAGTGCATAGATATATCGTAATATGGAAAACTTGCTTTTGGACAGAACAATGGATAAGAAAATTTCTCAAATATCTGATTCTCTCCATTGGTACTAATTAGTGGTTATTTTTTATGTATATTTTGATATATGGATTTTTAGTTGATATTGATGCTACAAGCCAAGGCACATAAAGCTAGAAATGTAAAAGCACACTAGGTAGGATCAATTTAAAGGGTTACATTTCTAGATCAACAAAATAATCAGTAGGTTCCATATTGTGCACATCTATATTGATTTAATGAAACCTGGTAGCAATCTCTTCATAAAAAGAAATCACTAGGTCCATTTTACCTCTTAAATCTTTCTCAAATCTACCCCTTCCTATCCTGGATAGGAAGGGATAGATTTAAATTAGGTCTTCATCATCTCTTACTAAAGATTTGTAATAGCGCCCTAGTTAATCCTTCCAGTGTTGCCCTCCCTTCAGGCTGTATTTCTCACAACTGCTGAATATTCGTTCTAAAACATGAACTTGACCATCTTATTTCCTTGCATAAGACCCTTGTGGTTCAACATCTCCTGGAAGACAAGATTCAAGCTTCTTAACGTAGCATACAAGGCCCTCCTGGAAAGGCATTAAGGCCTGGTGGTTATGAGAATGAGTTCTAGAACTAGACTGCCTGGGTATGAATATAGGTTCTGCTCCTACTAGTGGTGTGGCCTTAACTAAATGTTTTATAACAATATGTCTATAAAAATGTTAGCTTTTATTAATATTATATGGTTTCTCCCTCACTTCCTACACTTACTTTCTGACTGCTTTGCAATTACCCAAGGGCACTTTGCAGTTTTACATCTCTGTTCTTTTGTTCCTTTGTAGTTACTGATACCTCTCTCCCTCTTCCACCATACTTCTCTTAAACTGGCTGATGCTGTCTCATCTTTTAACATTTAGTCAATAATTGCTTTAAAGATTAAGATTAAGTGACTTTTCCTTGAATAGGTAGGATATTTATCTTATGAATTCCTCTGATATCCATCCACATCTCTATTATTACAGTTATCACATGGTATGATATTATAGTGTTGATGTATCTATTCACCTCTATAAGACCACAGGCAACTTGAGAGCAGGAATTATGTCTCATCTATCTTTGTGCCTGGTACAGTTCCTGGTACACAGTAGACACATAATAAAAATGTTTGTTCAATATAGAGGAAATTGCCATATGAAGAAAGGATTATTATTTTGCAAATCACTCTTGAACTCGCTTTTCATTATGTGGTTCAATGTTGCTTGATCGAGATCTTTGTGATAAATTTCCTTTAAAATTTACTTCCAGAGAAAGTTATTCCTCTCTTGAATTCTTAATGCTTCCATTTTATCTGAGCATGATAACTCAAGGTAGTTTCCTTTCTTGTTTTGATTATCCCTACTTATAGAGCTAATATTAATGCTATATTTCAGTAACCGAATTGGCTTGTGTGTCTAGTATTTTAATTTTCTTATATTAAATAAGTTGTACTTAAATTATAGGCAATTTAAAATTATTGTGGGTAGTGAGGGGTATAAATATATTGAATTTTCATGGCATGATAAAAAGAATAAAATGGACATGTAAATGAAATTAACTATATCTGGCAGAGGTATTGATATGGACGTGTATATTATTTATAGACTTGATTCCAATTATTTGTAAATAAAGACTTTATAACTGTGTGAAATTAAATTGAGGAATCTGGTAGATTATAATAATTGTGTATGGCTTATAATGATTGTGTATAATGTGTATATCTTTTTAGTGTTATAAGGAAATTGTCACTTGGAATAAAGAAGCATAATTGTTGGCCCCGTTGGCCCCAGAGTATTTTAAGTATATTTGTTATCTAATATATTATAACTGAAGACTGCTTTTTATAGGACATTAACAAGTGCTGGTAAAGACCTGCAAGATAATTTTCTGAAGGCCCTGGCAGTGAGAGAAGAAGACAATCGCAATGGAAAAGTGAGCGTGAGTACATTTCATCCAACAGCTAAAAATGTACACACTAAAGACCCAATTAGTATATGATACACAGTTAATAATATAACTTTTAATATCTTCCCTGAAAAGTAATTCATGAGGGATATAATATGGCTCCTTATTGTGTCCTATATATTATGACAATATATGTAGAAATTTTTTAAAATTCCAATTTACATCTGTAGAATTAGCCAAATGGTGAAAAAAATTAGTATTCTAAACGTCTATTGCAGAGAAAATGCCTATACTCCGCAGACTGGTTGTCATCTCCAACTCTGTGCTAATCCTACGTTGAAACTTCACGCCTCTTTTTAGCCCAACCTCCTAGTACATTTCTCCAAGTCACACATCCACCCAACCCCAAGTTTTGCCCCCTGCCTACCTCATTTCATGCTACCTCTAGAAGATCGTCCTAGAGTCTGTCCTATAGTCCTACCTTGGCAAATGCGTTAGAAACCAAATAATGGAGAGACATGATTTTGAATCATCCAAGGAGAACATGCTCTTGCTTTATTAAAATGTGTGCTAGACCAAATATGTAAAGTTGCTAAAATTATTTGGAATAAATATTTGCTTTCACTCTTTGTTAATATAATATTAGTGATAACAGTCTTTTGTAAATCTTAAAATGTTCCAAGTCAAGGATAAAAAAAGACAAATACTCATGCTGAAACTGTAATAAGTGACTTACAGAATAGTAATCAGAAGTAGTATGATGAAAAATTTAATGCAAAAGAAAAATATGTGTATAAGAGGTCTATTTTACCAAAGTTTTCTCAATTAAAAAATTGGAATTTTTCTCACTATCAAATCCTTTGAAAATTTCACATGCAGACAAAATCCTCAGTGTACTTTAGAGAGGAAAAAAAATCATACCTTGGTTAGACAATTGTATAGAATTAACGTGGACTTGAAATCAGGGAAAATTTCTTGGAGGAAGTAGCTTGAGTGAGATTTGAAAGAGGTGAGGTTGGAAATATGGGAAGAGGCTAGACTTTGGAGGGCCTTGTAAATCACAACAGAGAAGTTTGGAATTTATCCGACCATTAATATAAAGAGCAGCTAGAAATGTGAGAGGAATGGCAGAAAAATGTGGTGTCACATGGAATCCATGATAAGGACTTAGAAGAAGGAGCAAATGATCATCAGTATCAAACAGGATAAGGACTGAAAAAGCTTCTACTGTGTCTGGCAACGTGTAAACATTTTTTTAAAAATTTGACCAGAACAAATTCCATCAATTCTAAGGACGGAAATCAGATTCTATAGGGCTGAAAAAATGGCCCACGGTTAGAGTGGCACCAACAAACACACACAGCCTTAGAGACTCCAAGCCCATGTTTTTGACCACAATGGTATGCTTCCTCTCAAAAATGTCTTTTTAAACCTTTCTGTCCTGTTGGTATTTCCTTTGACAATGAATGACAGCTCATCCACTCATTTACCCAAATCAGAAGTATGTCAGTTATTATAGACTCTTTATTCTCTCTCACCCATGTTGAACAAGCCAAAATTCTCCTAGATATGTCAGATTACTTCACTTTTCACCATCTCAGCAATCGTTTGCCTTGATTCAACCCCCCATTATATATTAGATAAATTACTATAACAGCCTCCTAAATGATATGCCTATGTATTTTCTTTCCCAACTCACATCCATTTTCCAGTGACTCAACATGTATTTCTTGTGCACCTGTTCAAGCCTGGAACTGTTCTAGTCATGGGACACTGGGGCATTGCAGAATCCATGACCTTAAAGAGTTTATATTTTAGAGAGGGAGATAGAAAATAAGAAAGCAAAATAAAAGTGGAACAGTTAATTTCAGCTCTTGATAGGTGCTATGGAGAATATAAAATGAGAAAATTGAACAGAGAGTAGTTGGTTGCTTTAGCTACTGTATACAGGAAAATCACTTTGAGGAGGTGACATCTGTTGGGACTTGAATGAAGTGGAGAAGATAGCTGTGGAATTTGAAGGGAGAGACACCCTTAAATAAATATTGAAGAGGGAGAGATATCCCAAGAAGAAGGAACAGCATATTAAAATCTCCTGAGATAACAGCAATTGTGGCATAGGGAAGAGATGGTAAGAAAACCAGAATGGCTGGACTGTAGTTATTGAAGGGGATTATAAAGACCAATGAGATCACAGAGGAAGTTGGCAACCAGATCATATAAGTTTTAAATAATTTTAATTTTAATTTTTATATTTATTCTTTTATCATTGTAGTAGAAAGTCAATGGATGATCTTAAGAAGAGAAGTGACCTAGTCCGGTTTACACTTTAGAAAGATTGATCTCTCTGCTGCTGTGCAGGCGAGGAGGTGTGGGAAGGAGAGCTAGAGCAGAGGCAAGGAGATAAGTTAGAGAGCTCTGTAATCAACTAGCAAGAGATGAAAACAGTGTGAAAACACTCTTAAACCTGTGATCAGAGTTGAGATGAAGGGAAGTTAATGAATCGTGCCTATATTTTGGAGGCAGAACAGACACCACTCACTGATAGACTGGATGTGGAATATTAAAGAAAGAGGAAATTAGGATGACTTCTAGGTTTTTGGCTTGAACAAGTGGGTAGATGATGGGGGCACTTACTGTGACAGGGGAACTCTTGAGGAATGCTTATTTCAGGAATCAAGAATGAAAGAGTTCTGTTTTGGCTATATTAAATTTGTGAAGTCTATTTGATACTCATGTGGAGAAGTTGATTGGTCATTTACATATGTTGGTTTGAGACTTAGGGGAGAAGTCTTGGCTAGGATATAAATCTGAAAGTCATTAACATCTAAATGGTATGTAAAGTCATAGACTTGCACAAGTTTACTAGGCAGAGAGTATAGGTAGAAAGAGTGAAGTCCTATGACAGATCTTTAGGACATCCAACTGTTAGACAACTGGAATGTGTGGAAGAGCCAGCTGCTGATAGTGAGAAGTAGCAGGTAGCAGAAAAATCTCAAACATGGGAGAAGAAAAAATTTCAAAGGAAAGAATGCTCACCATGTCAAATACTGCTGAGAGGTTAAATAAAATGATGTATTAGTTTCCCATGGCTGCCATAACAAATTACCACAAACGGGGTAGCCTAAAACAACAGAAATTTGTTCTCTCACAGTTCTGGAGGCCAGAAGTCTGAAATCTAGGTGTCAGCAGAACCATGCTGTCTATGAAGGATCTAGGGGAGAATCTGTTCCATGCCTTTCTCTTAGCATCTGGTGTTGCCGGCAATCATGGGTGTTCTTTGGTTTGTAGGCACATCGGTCTAATTTCTGCCTCCATCATCACATGGGATTCTCCCTGTATGTCTGTGTCTGTCTTCTGGTCTTATAAAGATACCAGTCTTATTGGATCAGCTCCCCTCCCCAATTGAATATGACCTAATCTTAATTTTATTACGTCTACAAAGACAATTTATTGACATCTACAATTTATTATATCTATTTCTAAATCAAGTCATATGCACAGGTACTAGAGGTTAACACCTCAACGTATGTTTTAGAGGAACATAATTCAACCCACAACAAAGGATAAAAAGTTTGCCGTTGTTTTTGGCTAGACAAATATCATTGATTATGGTAGTGAGGGCTGTTTCAGTGGAGGGCTGTAGTTGAACATCTCATTGGAGTAGGTAGAGAAAAGAAAAAAGTGTGTAAGTGAAGATAAGGAGAAGCCATTGTTTTTGAGGATTTCTGCAGTAAAGTGTAGCATAGACATTGAGTGACAGCTGGTTGGGGTCTGAAATCCAGGAATTTTGTTTTGTTGTGTTTTAAGATGGATAATATTCACCTATGTTTTATGTTAGTGGGAATGATCCAGTAGAGAGAGGAATATTAATGGCGTAGGGGAGAAAGGGAATACTTGCTGGAGAGAAGTCCTTAAAAGGAAGATGGGATCCAGAGCACCAGGAAATGATTTACCTTTGAGAGGGGCAGAAGCCACTATTAAAGTTAGAGCAGGAGAGAAGAAAGAGTCTATAGGCACGTCTGCCAAGTGGGTTGGAGGGTTTGGATTTGGGAAGATGAGATAGCTCTACTGTGAGTTTATCTATTTTCTCTACATTGTTGCTCAAAATGACCTTTAATTACATCATTATGATTATTTTTTTCCCTAGAAAAGGTCCTAAATTAAACTTTTATTGAATATGCTAAATAGTTAACATTTAATGTCAGGTGAGTGGTCACTGGTTTGGAAACTGGAATCTTGCCAGACTCATAGCTTGCTGACTCTGAAAATAACATATGGTCATTTATTTGGGCCTTTGAATTTGTGATATTATTATACACATCATTGTATCAAAAGTGGCATTTAAAGCTTAATTTTTTATCTCCTAGTCTTGTCTTAAAGCAGACACCAAACGGTTTTATGGCAAACTATTTGCAACAGAATACAGATATTTCAGAAAGATCTAATTATTAAGATCACAAGCTTACTTAAAAGCCATTTACTAAATGGATATGCTTTTTAAAAAGTAATCCTATAAAATATACAATATTCATGAGATTTGAATCTATGTTAATTTGCTGTCAGCAGAAATTATATGTGAGTTTTATGAGGTCTGAACTCTCCGAGGGAAATGACTATTTCCTAACCAATAGGATTTCTCTACATAATGTGTGGGTGCAAAATAAATGGAGAACTTCAACCCGAGGCACATTTGTTTCTCTTTTTGTTTCATCTTATTGAAAGTACATACTAGAAAAATTATTGCATGGTCTATAACTTGCAGAGTTGACCTGAATGGCCTAATAAGGCTTGAAGGACTAATTCCATAGCAATTTTTCTAGGTGATTTTCTTTAACTGTAGCTAGGAAATGAGAAGATTAGAGTTACTTTCCCACACTCACAAGTTTTTATTTTATTTTTAAGTTTGCTGATCCCAGGTTTCAAATGCTATTCAGTGTAATTGAATCTTGTTCTGGGTGTGCTCTTTCTCCCTCTGGTCAACTAATTGCAAAATTGATTTATTAGTTTTCTCCATTTAGGCCTTGAATTTA